GAAATGCCAAGCCCAAGCCCCTCCTACTGCTAGCATCAGGCACATCACACCCAGAGCTTTGCCCTGCTAACTCTAAAGGTGTGCATGGTCTAGAACCCCTCAGATTAGAAAACAATGACTTAGCATCTCATTACTGAGCAGTTACTTTCTGTGGCTTTGCTGGTACTCTTTACAATCAGGAGCTGTGAATTGGCCTTTGGTTTAATCTCATTAAAACCAGATAGAGAATTAGGTCAGAGGACTCTAGCTGCAAAGCAGTCTGTTTCCAGAACTCCAGCAGAGCTGTGAAATAAAAATAAGCAAGTTCAGTGGGAAGGATATTGCACAGCATTTGTATTTGCCCTGTTCTAGGTCAAAACACTAGCTCAGGTTCTGAAACTAGACAAATGTTGCAGTGGGCAGTAGTGACGCCACATTAGCAGCTAGCACAGGGGTGTGATGTTCTAGATACTCCAAGCAGTAACTCCAGGATGGCATTTGGAACCGAGATTCTGCATGGCATGTAGGATGAACTGCTCAACAGTTTCCAGCTCTGAAGGATATGAGCATCTGGGGTGGGGTCTCAAGGCCTGGAGATAGAGCAGCATCCTAGGCCTAGGGGTCTCATAAATTCCAGTAAGAACCAGTTTCTTTTCAGTTTCAGAGAAAAGACCAGAAGTAGGACTGGAAGGTCATTATGGAGGGCTACTGACCCATGCCTGTTTCGCTAGCCACACAGTGTGCCAGTGACTGCAATGATGAGTTTTTACAAAAGAGATTTTATTCATGAGTCAGCCAGTTCTGTGGAGTCAGGAGAGAAGACTTCAAAGCTGTCTCCACAAGGATGGTGTAGGGTTTTTATGGCATAAAGAAGCAGGGTGGTGGGAGGCATGGGGAGAGGCAAATGGAGATGAGGAATAATGAAGAACTTGGTGGTCTGCACATGCCTAAGTGACTTCGTGGCTCTCCTGGTTAGGAAGTGGCAATGTTAATATGCTCTGGGCTAGAGTTCTGACCCTCTGACTTTGCAAGGTCACCCCTTGGGCACACGTACAGACCCAAGTGAAGTGTTGGTGGATTCAATGAGCTTGAGCCACCTCCAAGTTCCTGAAAAACACTGATCGTGACCTGTGTGACAGGTGCTACCTGTATCAAGGCTAATGGAGAATATTGCTCAGCCATATGGCCTCTTCAATGAATGGTAAAAGCTAGTAAGTAAAAGCATGTGAAGCCAGAGGGTTTATTCCAGTTTGTTTTGTTGTTTGTTTGTTTGTTTCAACATCTGTAATTCTATCGTCCAGCAACTGGTTCTCATGTCATGGAAGGTGGATCCTGAAGAGGATGCCCACTTCAGAATGTATCCATGTTTTGCTGGGAGCTTATGGGAGCAAGTCCCAGAGCCCCCACAACCTGAAAGACAGGTCCCTGGGTGCCGAGCCCTCCTGGCCTCCAATCCCTGTCTCTCCTCTAACCTTCATCTAGTCTGATGTTTATCCTATGATATACTGGGCTCCTCTGCTCTTGTCATTTGAGCTAGAGCTATTTACACCCAAGTGAGGGCAGATGGCTAATGAGTGGACCGGCTGTCTAGGAACAGTGAAACACAATCCTGCCTTTCAGGATTGTATGTCTGATAGATGGAGAGAACAGACTTTTACAGTAGTGCTGAAAGGTGATGCCCCTTCTGGGCAGGTGGCCTTGACATTGTCCAGAACTAGGTGCAGTTAAAGGAAACCCCTGAACTTCCTTTACATAATTGACTCGCACCACTCTTCTTTGCCAAGTCTCCATGTACCCTTGCCCTAGGTCATATGGGATCTTGTTGCACTGACCTTAGTTCTGCTGCCAGGGAGTGAGGGGTGGCCAGAGAGTAGAACAGGGATGCCTCTCTGTCTCTTGGCCCTGTGTGATCACATCAGAGGCCATATGTGGAGTGCAAGTCCCTGCATATTATGGTTCATTTGTCTCTTTGGTCCACATTTCCTTATCACTGACAGAGAAGGTCAACATAGTGGGTTAACTTTGGACCTCACTGAGTGGCAACTTACAGTATTGTGAGGAACATGGATTTTGGAGTCAAATAGATTTGAACTTAAATTTTAGGTTCTCTTTCTAGTAGCTACAAGATCTCAGCTGACTTAATCTCATAGAGTCTCATGTAATAGGTTCCTAGAAAGGGATCCATGCATTTACTATCTCCCATTCTGTGACGAACATAATGCTGCTTATAGAGTGCTTGGGGCAGGGTCTACTGCACGATGCATCTTTTATTATTATTGCTGAAAAAAGACATGTCTGTCCTTTTCAAATATGAAATGGCTGATCAGACACAGAGTGGAAGAGGTTAAGGAATCATTAGGCATTGCTTCACCTTTCTTGATTTTATTGTTTTCCAAACACATGGGAATAAAACTATCTCATTATATAAACATGACTGATTCAAAATAGGCATGTAATAGTCCATGTGACTTTTCCCGATAAGATTTAGTGTGGTTTTCTAGATTCAAAACAGACATTGAATCACCAAAGGAATTTGACCTTCACATTTACCTTCATGGGCAGGTGAATTCAGGAAACTATATGGGGGACCTACTGTATCCAAAGGACTGTGTAGGACATGGATGAATCCAGGTTGTGTGTCCAAGCTATACAACAGTAGTGGAGGAAATATTACAAATATCTATGTAATAATATTTACACAATAAGGGCTGGTGGGATTGTTCAGTGGTCTAAAGCACCTACTTAGAACAAGCTTAGCAAAACAAAGGGACCGCGGTTCAATCCCCCAGCACCACATGCCAGCCAGCCCTGCCCCCTGGTGGGCTGAGCTGGCCACACACACACACACACACACACACATAAATAAATAATATTTACACAGTAAGTCTACACCAGTATTGTTAAAGGGGTTAATGACATTCAAAGGGAGAAGCAATTACTTACCAGATGAAAAGGTGGTGTTATTTGGACTGAACCTTGAAGAGTGGATAGGATTTAGATGCAGCGAGACTAAAACTTGGAAATGCTTGGTCAAAGGCCTGGAAGTCAAGAGTGCATTGGAGAATAGAGTGGTGGTCCTAAGTGTTGGGGTACACTGCATGGAGAGTACTCTCATTAGGAATAAGATTGGAAAAGTGCAGAGATTGAACTTTTATTCAGTAAGCAGTGAAGAAAAACCGAGTTTTCAGGAAGGGAAATGATCTATTCTAACCTTCCTGGTTGGGAGGAAATAGCAGAATGTAGCTCTGGAAGCCAAAGGACCCATTTTTGCACTCATTCGGGCCACTAAAGCTTAGGCAATGGGGGTAGAAAAGAGAAGACTCTTGCATCAAGTAAGAATCAAATACGTTTGGGTGACTGATTTGGATTTGGAGGGTGAGACGAAAGGGAGTTAACTGTGTTAGTCAGCTTTCTGTTTCTGTGACAAAGAACTTCAGAAAAACAAGTTAAGGAGAGGTGTGTTTTAGCTCAGGTTTAGAGGCTTCAGTCCATAGTCTTCTGGCTTTATTGCCTTGGGCCTGAGGTGAGGCAGAACAATATGGAAGAAGGAGCATGGGGAAGAGTAGGCTGCTCACTTCAGGGCAGCCAGGAAGCAGGGAGAGGGAGGGAGGGGCAAGAGAAGGGATAGGTACAAATATACCCTTCAGTGGTGTTTCCCAAGCTGCCTACTTCCCCTAAATTAGACCTCCTACCTGCAGTTTCCACCATCTCCCTGTAGTCCCTTCAATTATGAATGCATGCATAGATTAGCCCATTGATGAGATCAGAGCTCTGAGGATCCCGCCATTTCCAGAAAGCTCTACATTTGAACATTACTGCACCGGGCACTCAGAATTTTTCCACATGAGCCTTTGGGGGGGATGTATCATATCTGACCCATGACACTGACCAAGCTGGGGATGTGTGAAGGAAGGTGTTGGTGGAGGAGTTTGACTGGGCTTAGCCCATGTCAGCAGCCTGATCATATGCAAACATCCAACACTAGGGTCAAAACTGCAGCCAAGACTTGGGGTCTGGGGCAAAAGAAGATAGTTGTGAGAAGTGGTGATAATAGAAGTTGAGGCACTGGGGAAGTTACCCAGTGAAACAGAGGTGAAAAGAGTCTTTAAACCTTAGGAAGAGGACTAAATGAAGGAAGATACAAGGGAAGAGGAATAGCAAAGGGAAGAGAGGAAGATCAGCTAGAGGATGTCCTTGAGAGACAACGAATCAGATCTCCTACTGACTTTGACTCTAGGTGAGGTACTGAGCCTGTCCTCTGGGGTATGAAGTGTAGTAATGACCACTTCATAGGATGCTGGAGGATCTGGTGTCTGCTGAACTGAGCAGGCACTTAGTGCAATTGTTCTCCTTATCTGTAGGGTTTATGTTCCAAAGTCCTTGGTGGAAGCTATAGTAGAAACTTCACACAACAGGGGCCCTAACTAAACTGTTCTGCTCTTACCAGATATTTTAGCACCTTCAGTTTACATTTTCTTTCTGGGGCTAGAGGCATGGCTCTGTGGTAGAGTACTTACCTAACATGTGTGAGGCCCTAGGTTTGATCCCTCACACACAATAAAACATAATATTCACCCCACAAAATAAATTTATTTTTGCCTTTCCTTATAATGTAGGGAGTTCTAGCTTTTTCACATGAAATAAAGTATTTTATAGCTTCTCTTTGGCATAAATTTTCAGCATCAGTACACTTGTGTTTTGCAAAAAACAATTACCTAACAACAAGCTCTGTGATTCCTTAACAGTCAGTCTGCTAACTGACAGGGCTGCTAAGTGCCTAACAAGCAGGTGTTGTACACAGCATGGATATGCATAAGAGAATGATTTTTGTCTCTGGTTGGACGGAGTAAAACATCCAAAGATTTCAGCACCCTATTTAGCATGGGACATAATTTAAAACTTATAAATTGTTTAGTTCTACATTTTTCATTTACTATTTTTCGATCATAGATGACCATGGGTAACTAAATCTGTGAAAAGTGAAACTGAAGATACAGGCAGCTAATTTTAAGGCTCATTCCTTCCCCCAGTCCCCACCGAAATCTGGAGAGGCATGGTAAGAACTGAGAGCATTTGTCAGGATAGAATACTTTCATGACAGTCGAGGTGTTTGGGGAAGGACCATGAGACATCACTAGATTGGGTCACTAGTGGGATGGGGATGAGGAGGGTGGGGGTGCTGTAGCACTTTCCACGGGGAGCAGATTCTGATGGTGGCTGACTACCAGGGCTGGGATGACGGGATGAAGAGGTTGGGAGAGCAGCAGGTACAGGCTACCATTTGAATCCAAGTAGCAGCCCAGGGGGGATCAGAAATGGAACTTGAGGAGATCAAGGGGTTAAGGGAAGGGTACCTTGGCTGCTTGCATCAGTGAAACCAGCTGGGCTATTAAGAAAAGTGAGCTACTGTAGTTCGCTGCAAGCCTTTTTTCTCTTGGATTGGACATATGAGGTCAGGCGTTTGGGTGGTTTTTCAAATGTGCCAGCTGACTAAGTCTGTGAGGAGGCAGCCTGTCATGTGAGAGAGTGAAACTGTGGTTTGGTCACGAGAAGCTCTGCGGAAGACTGGGCTGGTTCTGAACCAGGCATTCTTGTAACCCTGTAACCTCCCAAGCATGGAGGTGTACACAGAAGTGTGCAAACTCTGTAAGGAGTTTTCTTTTTCTTTTTGGCGGAACTGGGGATTGAACTCAGGCCCTTGTACTTGCCAGGGAAGCGCTTATTACACTGAGCCATCTCCTCAGCCCTGTAAGGAGTTTTCTAAAGAAATGCTTTCTCATGAGAGGAAAGGAACAGCAGAGCAGGTACCATGGGTAACTGTTCCAGAGGGTTCTATCTTGCAGCCTGAGGCATAGTTTCAGAAACAGTGCTTCCTTTTGCAAACAAACATAGCTCATTCCAAAATTACCTTGTCTCTTTGGTCCCAGAAATTCAGAACTTTGGAGCTCCTGCTACCCTCACCACCCTCTGTGTCTCCTAGGAAACTGCTTGACCTGGTCTCACTAGCCAGACAGGAAGTGGAGACTGGTGGAGGAGTGTGTGTGTGTGGGAGGAAGGGATGGGGAAGTGGGAGGGGCTTGAGGTCCAGACCACAATCTTTCTGGAGGGAGGAGCTGAACTGATGGGAAGGGCTGTGTCCCAGAGAATATACCCTTTAGGAAGAAAACTCCCCTCAATGTGACAGCATTCTTGACTAGACTGTGGGAGACCTCACCTCTCAAAAAGTTCTATTTTCCCTCCAGACTTAAGTTGTGTTTGGTTTGTTCCTCCTCAAGTACAGCTGCTGTGGCTTGGAGTTGTTCTCTTCTTAATCAGCTACTCTCTGTCTTCCTCTGCTCTTATTTTCTTCCTTCCTATTACCCTCTTCCTGTTTTAAGAGGCGATGCGGGTAGTGGCTAAGTGTGGGTCAGATGGCCTGGGTTTGCATCAGCTCTTCACCTACTACTGAGTGCTCTTGGACAAGTTACTTCACCTCTTCGAGTCTCAGTTTCCTCTTTGTTAGGATTGTATCCATTTCGTAGGGTACCATGTCACATTAGGAGGATTGACTGAGTAGATATATGTAGAGCTTAGAGCACTGCTTAGGAAGTGGTGGATGCTTTAGGTGGTCTATAAATATTAGCTATTATATATATATATTTCAATTATTTGTCCTCCATTTTCTAGTAATCTATCATTCATCATCTGTCAGTCTGTCTGTCCCTTGAAAGTACCTTTTTGAATTTGGTCCAGTGATATGAAAAATACTGAAATAGCCCATGCAATTTCTATTTCTAGGAATTATAAAGCATATAATATATTTTATTATAAAGCATAGAAACTGTACTTCAGCACTTCAATTACAGAGGGCTCAGTATCTTTCAGAGCTGTCATTCTCAGAAGAAACTTCCTCTTTACACTGACCTTTTGCTTGGGCCTTTCACTTGCTACTTTTACTTCTACATTCTGGAGGTATTAAAAAAAAAAAATTTAATCCTTTTCCGTTAGCAACTATTTAAATTTGGAAGATGTTTATCAGACCCTTCAAAGTTCTCTAGTTCTCAGGTTGGTGAAGTAGGCTACCATGACATCTTAGCTGCTTTTCTCCTGGCTAAAGGACTGGTTCCTCCTTGCCCATATCTCATGCATCTTCTGTGTAGACATTGATGATTACTTCCTTTTGACTAATACTTCTGTTAATGCAGAATAATGTTGCATAACCTTCTGGGCTATGTTTTCATATCTTTAAAGCAGGTTCCGCCTATTACTTGTGTGTTTTGTAAGCCCAGTGCAGTGCTATACTATAGAGAAGGTGTCCAATAAATGCAGATAGAATGGTACATTTCTGTGGACTTGGAGCTTTGGAGTTATTTAAACTATAGGCGTTTCTTTCCCGTTTTGTGTACAGTTGTCCTGTAAGACATGTCTGGTGTTTTGTGCTGATTTGTTTCAACCTAAGAAGAGGGTACATTTTTATTTATTGCTAATAAATTATGACCTTTAGATGTGACTTTAATAGGCCTCCTTGGTTATATGTTTTCAATTTTATTTTATTTTTGTGGTACTGGGGATCGAACTCCAGACCTTGTGCTAGCCAGGCAGGTGCTTATGCTGCTGAGCTATCTCCCCAGGCCAGTTATATGTTTGAAATTGTGATTTTCTTATTCCATGAATTAGTAATCATTTCTATTTTATGATCTTTGGTAAAACCAAAAGTTGATGGCTTAGCTCTGAAACTGAGCCTGTAGTATGTTCTGGGGACCTTTCTCCAGACTGGCAACAATGGTTTTGACATTTTTCAGTAGTTGCCAAGTGACCCTAATCAGCGTTATCCATCTCAGATTTTTCTGATAGGTGAGCATGAAAGAATTTCTTAGTTTATTGTAAAAATTCAGATATATATCACTTTATTACATGTCTTTCTCCTACTTATCTGATGTTTTCTACTACCTACAGGATGAAAGAAAATTAAACTGGAGAAGCAGTCAGTCAATTTCTTCAGGTTTTAGAGAATTCCCCTTCATTTTAAGTAGAAATCCAGGGAGTGGCAGGTTAGCTCAGTAGTCTAAAGTGCCTTCTTGCACAAAATCAGTCAGGGAAGGGCTGACCAAATAACTCAGCGGACTAAAGTGCCTGTAAGTAGGCACGGGCCAGGGGTTTGATCCCTGGGCCTGCCTGCCTGCCTTGCCTGCCCTGCCTCCAGAGCATGCTGAGATGGCAGTTGAGACTGGGTGTGGTGGATGCGCCTGTAATCCCAGCTCTTGGGAGGCTGTAAACATGCTGATCACTACGAGTTTGATCTAGTAGTGAGACCCTAAATACCCTGTAGACTCTTCCCTAAAAT